TTTTGTTGATTTGTCATAGAACTTCTTAACACTTTTACTCCTGCGGCATCATTTAGGTGAATGTAGCCATCAACTACAAGATCCCAAAGATCTACGTTGTAACCAAGAAAGAAACTTTCAATTCTATCTTTCCAGTAGTCAAACTTTTCACCATCAAAGACTGGTGGTTTGACACCATAGTGATCTTTCTCTTCTGGAATAGGATTAGCATTAGCGGAAACCATGATATCTCACACAAATACTGGATCGATACTGAACACGGTGAAGTGCTGATAAAACGTTTATCATAATCAAAACCGGAGCTCTGATGCCAAATAAAGGTATGGTAAAACACAAGACATGGGGGTTTGAATTGGGTTTTCAAAAATGAAAGCTTTTTTTGAAACTTAAACAAAGATCACAAAGACACTAGCAAGAGAGAAAGATACACGATATATCCTGGTTCACTTGAAAACTATCAAGCTAATCCAGTTCACCCACCAAGGTGATTTCTCCTTATACACAAGGACTTAATCCAATATAATCAACTGATTACAATTTGCACTAGCAACAACTGGTGACTGACAACCATAAAGACTAATTGTCTCTTCTTAAGAATTCTGACCTAACTGGTCCTTTAAGGAATTACAAACAACAGTTTGAAAAATAAATGTTTACAAAGAAAGGCTTCACTGTTTGCTTGCTTGCTTGCTTGCTTTCTTTCTTGCAATTTTCTTCAAGTGGTCAAGTCCTTATATAGCCAGTAAAAGATCCATTAGAGAGCACATCAGGAATACCCTTGAGTGAGCTGGTGACTTGACAAAATGTCGTTACATAGGGATGAAAATCGTACACAAAAGTTGTCCTTCGTACCACCAAATCAGGGTAGTGGAATGGAACTTTTTGATACGTATTATGTACTATTTTTCCTCATAAACTTTTGATCTTATCTTCTGTACATTAGAGGCTTCTAAATAGAGAATATTGAAGCATGTGTACAAGAGTCGATTACTAGGTCTACAGAGTCTTGATTCTTCAGAACTTTGTTCAGCAGAATCTTGTCTTTAGAACCTTTAGCATTCAGTCTTCAGAACCCTTGGTCTTCAGAAACATAAGTCTTCAGAGTCTTAAGAACTTTGTTCAATAGAACCTTGTCTTCAAAGTCTTTACCACTTAGTCTTCAAAAGATAACAAATTCAAAAGCTAGAAAACCTTTAGAAGTAAATCATTAGAGTCACGCTCAGAAGAAGAATCAAAGAGAACATTGAAGCAACAACATATTTTCTTCTTAGAATCCTTCTGAATGTGAGCAGATCAGAAGAAGACTTGCTTCTTTGATGCAGAAATGACTTTTGGTCAAACCAGATTGTCATTGCATATGGTCTCTATTAGACTTAGAACCTGTTTGTTAAAACTTCATAATAACAAACGTTAGAGTACCAAAATTGTTCTCACACAAATACTACTTTGTTATTATCAAAACATAGAGATAATGAGCAGAACCAAATCTTGTTCAAACAGTAATTTCTCAATTTCTATCTATCCTAGGTATGCGTTGACTTTTGCAGGGTATTCAAGCTCTGTGTCTAGAAACTCATACCTTAGGTTTTTGGGTAGTGTTTTAAGTTCTACAGAAGGTTTCTTTAGGAAAGGCATAAGATTTAGAGTTAGTGCTAGACATTCCCTTAAACTGTCATCTACGTATGGTTCACACTAATTATCATTTTCTAATATAGGAGGTGTTGGAATCTTTAGTACTTTAGTATACTTAGATTGTTACTTCTCCATTTCTCTTACGCATTCTTTGATGACATCTAGGAAACAACAAGAATCATCTATAGTTGGTGCCTTTAGGAATTGTGAAAGAATAAATTTGACTTTCTCTTCACCAACCTTGAAGATTAACTTTCCTTTTTTCATGTCTACGATGGCGCCAACAGTGGCCAAAAAGGGTGTTCCTAATACGATTGGAATGTTGGAATCCTCCTTTATGTCCATTATTATAAAGTCGGTAGGAATATAGAATTGACCTGTGTGGACGGGAATGTTCTCAAGCATACCTATAATAAATTTAGCAGAATAGTCGTCTAGTTGGAGAGACATTATCGTCGATCTTACTTCTCCTAATTTGAGTTTTTCACATATAGAAAGGGGCATTAAGCTAACACTAGCTCCTAAGTCGCTTAGTGCTTTTTCTATGACACACTTTCCGATTACAAATATTATGGAAAAACTACCTGGATCTTTTAACTTTGGAAGCTTGTTGTTTTGAATTATAGCGCCACACTCAGCAGTAAGTGTAACAGTCTCATAATCCTCGAGTTTTTTCTTATTAGTGTCGTACCTCGAAAAAAACGATCCTCGCGATGGACACGAATAAAACGTTCGAACAGAGTCGCCACCGAACTTTATTCATTCTAAGGAAGGAATAAGAAAATATCGATAAAACCTTTAAAAGAGATAAGAACATGGTCGTCGCAACCAAATTCTAGGTTCGATAGTCGATTATGCAAAGGGAAGTTATTTTCACCCTCTACGTCCGTTGTACTCAATGAGAACCTCTTGACTCGATTCAAAAGAAAAGTTAGACACGCTTGTTTGTTATCTTCTAAAGATTCACTTCTAAGGGGAAAATGGGTAGTTTTATATTAGGGTGCTCGCCAAGGATTGGGGCCCTTGTGCCTATGTACTCCCTCGTGCAATGGAAAAGTCAGAGTATCGTAGTTCGTGTAACTACGGTTGAAGGTTTTTATCAAACAAGTGTTTAGAAGGTACTAAACATTGTTCTTTTAGGAAATAGTTTTAATCGCGCGGAGGCGAGAAGTTGAATTAATGTGTTTTTATTTTGATTGGATGACGATGACTCGAAGCTTAAAAAAGTCTCCTCGGGCCCAAGTGATCGGGAAAGTGAATCGAAGATTCGACTCTCTCTCTTTTTCAACCTTAATTGTGAAAGGATTTTAATATAATTAGAGTGGTTTATGAATGACGATTACTCGAGGCTTAAGAAAGTCTCCTCGGGCCCAAGTAATCGGGAGAGTGAGTCAAATACTTGACTCTCTCTCTCTCTTTTTCATTTAAGTATTTGGAAAATAGGTTTTGAGTTTGTTTATTATAAAAAACGTTTGACGTAGAGTCGTGGTATAATGTTTTTTAGAAAAGACAATTGTTTGAACTTAAGAAAGGCTCCTCAGGCCCAAACAATCGAGAAGAGGAATCAAAGACTCCATTCCAACTCCCTTTTCATATTCTATTGAAATTGTGTTTAAGTATAGTTAGGTTCATTGAATTGACTTTGATAAAATACTCGATGTTGATCGAGGTTTGAATTTGCGTACGAAACAAATAAAGTTTGCACTGGTGGAAGGGAGGTCCTATTGGTATAGGGTAAGGTCGATGGCGAGGCAAAAACGCTCGACTTACAAAGCTGAGTTTAAGGTATACGAAAATCCACTTGGCGTTGGACCAAGGGTTTTATCCATTTCAAAAAAATGATGTTAGTTCTAGATTAACAATTTTGATCATCATCCAAGAGTAATTCATGCAAATAAGGCATATGACCAACAATCAAAGACATGTAAATTATCATAGATCCATCCTTATGTACCCCAAAATTTGACCAACCTTTTTCTTTACTTGGCTGATGTTTTATTTCATTCTTTAGCATTTGCATTCACATAGCATTGTCCTTTGCCGGGGATCAAGAGGAATGTGCCATTCTAGAGAAGAGTAACAAGGGTATCAAACTCAAGCAAGAGTGCTCATTCAAGTCATCAAAGGCTTACGATCATCAAGAGGTTGTCAAAGTTCTTTGAGGAAGAAGATTGACAAGAGTTGCTTACCTCCTATTTTGGGGATCAACAGAGGATCACCTAGGGTACACAAGTTCATGGTTATGGATAAGATGTTGTTGTCCTCTCAGTTGCTTATTACTTGTTACTGGAAGTACAAGTTAATATGGATTTAATATTGGAGTTGGGAGTTCGTTAAGAATGCAAGTTGATTTGGGTTTAAGATTGGAAGTTGGTGTGGATTCATGGAAGAGAAGTTTTATTCAAGAGATTCCATAAATTCAATCGAATAAAAGTTGTCAAGGTTTAGTTGAATGTCTTAAGGGGTTTCTTGGTATTCAAAGCTCATCATTTTAATTCAAATTCAAGTGGAAGTCCATTTACAAAATCCATATCCACTTTTAAACCCATTTTTTTGATTCATTTCAAGTCATTAACCAAAAACCACTTCTCCAATCCAATTAACTTTTTTCAATAACCATTTTAATCATGTTTGATATCCATTTGTTAAATCCAAAAATCCACATCCATTTTTCTCAGTCCATAACCATATTCTAAAATCCACATATATAGCCTTTTTGAACCGATTCCATACATAAGTCATTCAAGTTTTCTTTACAAATTAGGCATTAGAATTGAATCCAAATCATGAGTACATATCTTAGATGACAATTTCTACCATAAAAGAAAATTGGGGGCATTTCATTAATCATAGTGGTGATCCTAATTATCTGACAGAAAAGTGGATGGTGAACGGGGAAATCTGTATTGGATTGTTTGCATTGCGGCATATCAAGCAGGATGAAGAATTGACGTTTGATTACAACTATGTAAGGGTTTTTGGTGTTGTTACCAAAAAATGTTATTGTGGTTCGCCTCATTGTCGAGGTTATATAGGCGGCGGTGATCCACTTAGAGAAGAGCTTATAGTTCAAGGTGATTCAGATGATGAATTTCTAGAACCGATGATGCTTAAAATGGTGAAGTTGAGGACAGCATACATATGCCCAAGTAATATGATAATGTTGATACTGAGTCTTCTAGGCATTTATTAACAGAGATGGTTGTCATTGGAGACCGCAGCAAAGGCCCAGGTTAAGGCGTGCTTGCTACAAACACTCTCTTCTGCATCTCAGCACTAAAACCCTTTGGTTCTTGCTTAATTACGATGGTCACAAAGGATTTTGAATCTTCTTCCATTTCATCCAACACTTTGTCCTAGTTGCAGCTATGTCTTCTTTTCTTCCTGCCACAACAGACTCGATCGCTCTGGCATTGGAAGCTAAAGACCCATCTGAGGGCATCTCCATTCTTTATCGTGTACTTGGGGATCCTTCTTCTTCCCCAGAAGCTCTGCCCATGAAAGAGCAAGCCATAACAAATCTCACCGACCTTCTCAGGCAAGAGAATAGGGCGAAAGATCTGCGCATCCTTCTCACTCAGTTGGGGCCATTCTTTTCCTTGACTCACAAGCTTTGACTCTCCTTAATGACTTGGTCAAAGAGGTTAAGAGACTAGATGACAAACTCCTTCTTGTAGATATAGACTTTCTTGAAAGCAAGCTTCACTTCTCTTTAAGAAATATCCCCAAAGAAGAAGCTGCTCTCACAGCCGCAGGAACAGCTGCAAATGCTATTTATGTTCCACCAACTCAACAAGGTGCTATAGATTTACAGAGTGGAATTCTTCATGCTGAAGAGTAGGATTACAAAACTGCATATAGTTATTTCTTTGAAGCTTTTGAGTCTTTCAATGCTCTTGAAGATCCTAAAGTTGTCTTTAGCCTAAAATACATGTTGCTATGTAAGTTCATGGTAAGTCAAGCTGATGATGTGGCTGGAATCATATCTTCTAAAGTAGGCCTGCAATATGTTAGACCTGACTTGGATGCGATGAAAGTTGTTGCAGACGCTCATTCCAAAAGATCCCTGAAATTATTTGAAACTGCTTTACGAGACTTCAAAGTACAGTTGGAGGAGGATCCAATTGTTCATAGGCACCTGTCATCCTTGTATGACACCCTTCTAGAGCAGAATCTCTGCAGATTGATTGAACCATTCTCAAGGGTTGATATTGCACATATTGCTGAACTTATTGAGCTTCCTCATAAACAGTGGCCTGAACTGATAGGATCACTTTTATCAAATATTCATCAAGTTCCTGCTCATGTCAAGCAAGCAACTTTGGAGACTCTCGGGTATTTTTGTGAGGAAGTCTCTCATGAGGTTGTTGAACAAGACCAGATAAAATTCTTACTGCTGATAGTCGTGTCAATCGTGCCACCATGAATATTTATGGTTAGAATTTTGCAATGCCAATGCAGACACCAAACGTTGCCTTAATGACAACTGCAATGAGTGGTCCTGGTTCGAATGGCAATCACAGTGAAAATATGCAAAACAGAGAAAATCAATTACAAAAATTCATAGCAACGAAAATTTAACAAGAAGAAATTTAGAAGTGCATTCCATTATTGACTCTCATAACCAACTTTCACAACAGAATTCATAACAACTTCCTAACTACTTCATAACTAACCTTCATCTCATAACTAACTCAAAATTCAAACTGATTTTCCAGCTGGCATAACCTCCATAATAGAATTTTCATTGAAATCCACAACCTACCTCTCATTGCATCTTCTATAAATCACTACTCACATCACAATTCACTCGGGGATTTTTTCTTCACCAAACTCTCAATCACCTTCAATCTTCACAATCCATTTCTTCTCAATTCACTTTTCTCTCACAGCAACATGACTCAGAACTCTCTGTTATCCTCCTCACGCAGCAAACACACACTCACAAAGCTCTCCCTCTAACTCCATTGGAGCTTCACACTGAAGCTCCTATTAGAGTGAGCTAAGACTCCATCGATCTTTCCACTATCTGCATCACTCTCAAGCACCTAGAACTACCAGCTCGTACCACAAAAGAAGGCACTCCGAAGAAGAATAAGAGAAGAAGAAGGTAGTAGAAGTAGATAAAGTGGCCTCAAGAACAAAGATTACACTACTTGAGGTTAGATATCCGCGCCGCCGGCGACAGAGCTACTCCGGTAAGTCCAATTTCGCTCCATTTTCTTCAAATCGAAGCTTCCGTAGATTTAGGATCGAGGAGTAGAAGCCCTCAGGTGAGAGGCTTCATTCCTCATGAACTGCGTCTAATTTCTATTGGTGTGGCTAGGGTTCTTGTAATTGTATATTCCGGTTTGAGATGTAGAGTGAGAATCTGGATGAATTGATGAGGGAATTGAATAGAGTAGATGGAGAGGAGTAGAAAAAGGTAGATTTGGTGTGGTTTCATGCTCCGCCGCTGCAGACGGTGAGCTCCGGTGTGGCGGGTCCACGGTAGCTTCGACGATGAATTTGAAAGCGTGATAGAGGAATGCACGTGAGCAATCAGTAGCATGCTTTCTTTTCTTTGTAAGCTGAACTCTATTGTTGCTTTCATGTGAATTAGGCCAAGGTCATATATAACCGTTCGCACCACTGCATCACATTCAAACCCCCTGACTAGTCATTGGGCTCAAATCCTAAGGCCCTAGGAAAATTGCTATGCTGACTCTGTTTTTCCTGTATCACCTCCCTCTGTTTTTTTTTTGTTAAAGTTAATTAGCTTAGGTTAAAATTTTCTTAAGTGTGGATTAAAACCTTTGCTAATTGTGATTAGGTTTTTTTAATTTCTTAATTGAATCTTTTAATTAGATATTAATATAAATTTGGTTGATATTGAAATTTCTTAATTGAATCTTTTAATTGGATATTAATATAGCTCTAGTTGATATTGAAATTTCTTGATTGAATCTTGTGAATTTCCTTATTGTTTTGCCATGATTTTGATACACATTTTGATTAATCTTGATGCATGCCTTGTGATTGATATTTTGACATGAGTTTCTCATTGTATTCAAATCTTGTTTAGTGTGTGATTTTTTCTTGATGATTGAGATGCTTTATGTTTACTTGTTGATTACTTTGCGTTTCTCTTTTGTTTTGCATCCTTTTGCATGGCTTAAAGAGATTGAGATGTGCTTGTGGTGGTGGCCGCCCCACACTATTTTCCTTCCTCTTTTCTTTGTGTTGCTTTTCATGTTTGCATCCCTTTCTTCCTCCTCATTTGTGATTGATTTATCTTATGTTTACTTGGTTTATTTTGCCATGATCCCTTAGGATTCCTAGTCCCTCGGGAATAGGAGAGACATTAAGTGTTCAATCCAAGCATGATAACATTAGGATAGTCTTTTCCTTCTTAATCTCAATCATAGGAGCACATTGCATGATAACAGTAGGGTTGAGTTAGTTTCCCCTTAGTTGTGTCTTCTCTCTTCTCATCTCAAAACTTCTTCAAGACATGTAATAAAGGATAATGAGTGTTGTACGCTATGAGCCTTAAACATTTGGGAAATGATGATTGGGGGGCCTCCTCTCAATTGTCTAGAGTGTTTAGCGTATGCCCTTTGGGCGATATGCGACGCATTCGCTCCTAAGTCATAGTCTTTAGTGCAACATGAATTACAAACACAATTCAATTCACTTCTTCTTCATAAAAGACTCAAAAACAAATATCAAATCTTTTTATCCTTCGGGATTAATGGAAAACCATTTTCAAAGAGAGTATTGTTAACTTTTGGTTCTACCGTAAACAGGTAACGCCTAAGTCTCCAATGGTCGAGCAGCAATATACTTAATTGCTAGAACTAAGGTTTAACCCTACTCGGGTAAAACACTTGAACTAATCTATGGTCGTGTCAGCCCGAACTATGTTTGCTCTGATTTCTCATACCAAATGAGGATACATAGGCACAAGACGCCGATATCTTGGCGAGCAACCTTTCCCCACCTTCACCCGTAGTTTTCCGAACTACATTGACTCTGACTTTCCCAGTGCACGAGGGAATACGTAGGCATAGAGCGACGATGCTCTATCGAGTCTCTTTTATTTTCTTTTGTCTCTGTGGCCCGTAGCTTAGATAGATTAACACCCTTTAGATAGACAACAAGCGTGGATCCCGTTGAGTACAACAGACGTGAGGGGTGCTCATACCTTCCCCTTGCGTAAACGACTCCCGAACCTGAGATATGGTTGCGATGACCTGTCTTTTCTCCTTTTTTCGTAGGTTTTCTCTGATCGTTTCCTTTTCCTCTCTTTGGGATAAATAACAAACGGTGGCGACTCTTCTGTCCTTGTCGGCCCCTCTTTGCAGCAATGCGACAACTGGCGACTCTGCTGGGGACATTTCTCAATCCTTTATGCGAGTCAATCCTAGCGCTTGTGTGTTTATCTTTGGGTGTGTATATATGTGTTGTACTTTATTTGCATTCGCATTGTACTTTCCAGCATTGTTATATATCGTTATTGTTGTGCTGCTGGGTGGGAATGTTCCGCTGTGAGATAAGCCAGAACCCAGGCTTGAGAATAACCATAGCATTAGAGTGAAGAGTAGTGATGGACCTGTATGTTTGGCATGCATTAGTCCTCACGAAATTCGCATTCAGACGAGGTTTTCTTTGAAGACATCTCATCCTGCTGGTCAGGACCGGGATGTTGGATCTGAAAACTGTCGACTTTGGAGACCGATCACTTAGGAATCAACTAAGTGAGGCCGTTTCGTTAGTCTATGAGGCCAAACCAGAAATGGTGAACGTATCATCGTTTCTCAAAAGTCTGTGACCCTGATGCCCGCATAGGATGCCAGACCTTATCAGAGATAGGTTCATACCTATGAGTGGGGAGGTTATGCAAGAAATTTTGACCTTCAACCTACCTGGTTTTCTCGTCAGTGTGAACCTGTGATCTTGATACAGTGGTTCCTTATATCAGTGTTGTGTTATATTCTCGCCAAAGCGAAGCGCTGGTTCTTCTCAGTCAATAGCACAACAATCTTGATCCCCTGTTGCATTTGCATTTAACATTGACATGTATTTATGCTGCAGGTGTATATTTTTCTCTCGATTCTAGTGAGTTATTCCACTTCTGACATGGAGCCTAGCTTGAAGAAAATTGTCGTGTATAAATTTCCTACTCCTGACATAGGATCTCTGTTCAGTTTGATTTCTGTTGCCGATCGTACTGTAATGGAAGATTTCAGGAAGTCATATGGGAAGCTCTTGAATTGTGTTTGCAAAGCCTTAGCATATGAGTTGGGAGGTCGCCACACTTTGCCTCAGTTCTATGATCCCCAATTACGGTGTTTCACTTTCCCGGGTTATGTGCTACTGCCTACTTTGGAGGAGTTCTCTATGTTGCTTGGAGTTCCTATCTTGGACCAGATGCCTTTTTATTATACTAAAGCTAAGCCTGATTTGACTAAGCTTGCTAATGCCCTTCATTTGGATACTTCTGAGCTAAAAGGGAAGTTGGTTAAGAGAAATAGAATGCCTGGATTTCCAATGTCCTTCTTGGTTGGTAAGGCTCAACATTTTGCAAAAGACGGTTGTTGGGTTGTCTTTAATGCCATCTTGGCTCTGTGCATAT